TTACGGGGATGAATATATATGTATATATTATGGAGTTGGATAAATATATATAGATCGCTCGACAACCTCAGATCTTTTGTTGTATGACCCGACATCTCATCCGATCATCTTGGTGGTCGATAGATCGAAGATGAGTGAAAAGCTGATAGCCGATGAGTGAAATTAATGATACTTTGTATCTGGCCATATGAAAAGCTGATTCCTGATCATGAACTGACATTATATGGACTAATCTGATCCTGGAGAAACAATGATAAAATTTCCATTTTATTAATATTGGAGAAACGAAAAATTGATGAGATGGTACCAGAAGTTACCACATGATTAATGTGATGTCGGAAGTTACGACTTAATGATTAAATTATATCCTGGTATATGTGCTACTAGAAGCTACTACGTTATAATTAAAATGGTGAAGTGGTACCATAAGCTACTATTGGATGTGAACAAAATGAGAAATGGTGCCAAGAGTTACCCGTTATGGGTGATCACACAAAACGGTTTCTCAATATATTATATGAGTCTAAGGGGCTATATCAGATGACGAGATCACATTGAGATATGAGATCATATAGATATTACAATAAAGTGCTCCGGAAGAAGCACAAATGATAATGATTGTAGTCATGAACTACTATACACTTATCTTGAGAAAAAACGAAATTGATATTATTATTACTGAAAAACAAGTACAGAATGTTCAGATGATGGAAATATGAAGAAGAGGCAGTAAGTACACGATGAATACAAATTACGCAAAGATTACATAATAGAACCCATAAAAGTAAGGGTGCGTCTCGAGAGTATAAACTTTGTAACTCTGCCACCTATAAATGATATATGGGTTCATAATGAGAGATCTAAAGGATCAAAAGCTCTTTTCCGCTTAACTCATTGTGTTTCCGCAGAATCTTGAAAAGTCAAGATATCTTGAAGCTTTTTGATAAGATCAGCAGGTGTATCTGCAGATTTGAATACCTCTTGTTGAAGAAGATATAAAAGTTTGATATACTCCTATGTCTAAAAACCAAGCAAGTCATGAAAGAAGTTATTAAAATTCAATAGACCTATGGGTTTGTTATGAAGTTTCAATTCCGCCCAAGAAGCAATGGTAAACATTGTCATTAGCGTTCCATAACCACCTGGAAGAATGATAAAAGCATCGGTATTTTTCACCATATCCATCATATAGTCATAAATAGAATGAGTTAGCATCATGCTTGTGGAATCCTTGACGACCCTGGTTGAAGCTATACGAAAAGGTATGATACTTTTCACTTCTATCTCAAATCATTGTCCTACCATTAAGAGACTATCATAGAAAGTATAGCTAGTCCCTCCATACAGCAAATTGATTTTTTGATTCCCCATCTCTTTTACTAAATTACAATATCAATATTTTGAGAAAAACTTATCAGTCTATAACCACCAATAACACACATGGTTTTGATCGGTTGAAGAAAATTATTACCTTGCGAAGACTCTAAAATATCCATCTATTTATTCATAAACTATATTTTCAAAATTTGTGAGATATACGATTATGACGAATGACTCGCTATTTAAATAGAAAGTTCCACAAAATAATAAATAATTTTACCATTTTCTTCTGACAATTGCAACTGACAGATAAGGTGTTGGGGCTTAAATAAATCTTATCTGTCGACAACCATAAGTTTTTTCTAGAAAATTAAGTGTAAATACTAAACTGTATTAGTATTATTTTTCGTAGTAACAAGACCTGTTTTACAAACTTGATTTTTTGAAACAAGATTTTCGAGACTATAACGTTCTTCTTCATTTTTTAACTGAATCCATAAAGACATAAGCTCACGATGCACATACCCACTAGGATGTGTCTCAAGAATCTGTTGAATCGTTTTATCTTCTCGATTTTTGGACACGTACCCCACAGATTTACATTGTGTGCGCATTTGAAGCATCCACCTAATCTTTTTGCTCTTCGTTTCTTTGCAATAGTACTCTTACCCATACTTGGCATATATTTATATGAATTTGGAAACTCTCAAGACAACCGAACTTGTGCTTCGATCAACCGTCGAACATCATTTTGAATACCATTATTCATTAGCACCCTTAATCTTTCTAGTCGAGATCGATAAATTCTTTTTATGATATTTACTGGAACAAATGGATAATATGTACGGATATTTGAGAGTTCTAAATCTATTTGTAAATTCAGATCGTTGTTAAAAAAGATTGAATGAATTACCTGATAATTTATAGAAATAATGTGTATACGATACGACTCCAAAACAGAGTTTAAAAGTCTGTATGTCAGAAGGCATGATACGCATGAGATGTGATTCTAGATTTAAAGATTGTGTGCCAGAGTCTACATTTAAAGTGTATTTATTGCCACCGAAAGATGATGTGATATATTTGTGATAAATGGATCACAATGAGTTATTGTTATGTTTACTGATATAAATGATGATTTGCATGACTAACTGATTCTTTATGATATGAGAAACTTTGTTCTCGATTGGTGAAATTTTTTACTAGCTAAATATTTGTGAATCGATATTTGATCAATCTGAGTATGAAAGGGTTACGATATATATATAGGCCCACTACCCCTCCATGTGTGCTACTAGATATTATGGATCCACTAGATAGCCACATGTGTGTAATTCGTAACCTAAAGTTACGAGATGATTTGATCAAATAATGGATATATGACACGTAACCTGAAGTTATGAGATGATTTGGTCAAAGAATGTGTATATGACACGTAACCTGAAGTTACGAGATGGTTTGATCAAAGAATGACCCAAGATGATTATGAAAGAATGAAAATAAGTGTCGTATGAAGGTAATGAAGCTAGTAATATACTCAGATGAGATGATGAACACTTGAAAGATAAAATGTGCACATTACAAATGATATGAGTTCATAGTCCCCCAAATATATGTTGAAATCGAGAACAAAATGGAGACTATATGAACTCCCCTCAAGAAATTCAATACTGAAAATACAGATCAAGGATCTGTTAAGATGAGGGGGAGAATCAATGATTGAAATTTGGAAATGATATATGCATCACACTGAAAGTGTGCAAATCATAAACTGAATGATACAAATGATGGTGAAAAATCGGTATCTGACTTCTTTCTTCTTCTGCTTTAATGGGCTCATATATGAAATGATATGATGGTGGAATAATACGTTGGAACCGTTGGTATTGTGCAAATTGAAATTCTCCAAATAAGTGATGAAATGAGGCATATATATACTATTCATGAAATCAATTGATAATGATATATCTCAATATACTACGGGGAATAATGGAAATGAATAAGTGTCGACACAAACAAATGAATAGCGCTATATAAATGATATGGACGATAATGAAATCAGCTGAAATGTGAATATTGGGAACTATTGGCAGTAAGACCATTGAAATCAATTGATGATGAGAATGAGTTTAAGAATAAAAGTTGCACAAAGCATGATATGACATATTATCATGAATACCATCAGTATCTGAATATCTGAAAATCTGAATGAGTACATCTACATGATACTTATACAAATTATGGGAAGATTATTATGATGAATATATGGAATACGCGTTGTACTCTTTTTCCCATGGCTGAGGTTTTCTCCCATTGGGTTTTCCTAGCAAAGTTTTTAATGAGGCAACAGGGATGGCGTATTCACATGAATAGTGTACTCTTTTTTCCTTCATTAGGATTTTGTCCCACTGGGTTTTTCCTAATAAGGTTTTAACGAGGCATATTCATGGTATGATGAGGACTACTGGATAAATGATATGATTCCTCACGATGATAAGAGAGACTGGAGTAGCTGTACCCTTTTTCCTTCGATCAAGTTTTTTTCCACTGGGTTTTCTTTACAAGGTTTTAACAAGGCAACACGTGGATACTCCACTAAATATGATCTATTTGAGGGGGAGCAATGTTATGCTTCCACAATGCTCAGGTTTTGTCCCACCGGGTTTTCCCGAGGAAGCGATGTTATGATTTCACGATGATTAGGTTTTGTCTCACCGAGTTTTCCTGAGGAAGCGATGTTATGATTCCACAATGATTAGGTTTTGTCCCACCGAGTTTTCCTGACATACTGAAGCACCAATACCTGATGGCTACAAGATATACATCAAGATGTTCAGATTGGACTTTGTTCAAATAATGATATGTTTAGAAAATAGTCATTCAAGGGGGAGTGTTATAAATATGTCAACCGCCAACCTCCAACATCATCAACAATTATAATAAAAAATAATGTATATGAATGACTATTTTGTCCTCGATGTATTTGTATTATTACAAGTTGTGCCATCAGAAATTTCCTATAAATAGGAGTTTCAGTTTAATGAAAATCGTACCCAAGAGAATATATTTTCTCTATTCTCTCTCTTTCTTTCTAATTTTATAACATTGACATTATTTTGTATTCAAAATGTTAAGTAATTATTTACACGTATGCAAATTGTAAAAGTGTTGTCAAACGGATGGTTGAGTAGCATTATTGTATCTCAATAGTCCTAAGTACTTTTAACTTTTTGTTTAGTCCATTCATTCTTTTTGAACTTACACTATAGCATGTCATATGTCACTTTCTTGAATCTCCAATGTTATACTTGAATTGGGATAAACAAAAATATAGCAACAAAAAAAAAAAAAAAAAAAAAAAAANAAAAAAAAAAAAAAAAAAAAAATCATAAGCATTTCCAGGCAGAATATATGCACAAAACTAGAACATCGTTTACAGTTTATTTCCGAGGCATGTCCGGGAACAGGAAGTCTATGGAGCCACAAGATGGCTCCCTTATGGAGTCATTCATACCTTTATGTATTGACACGTGTCCAATGTCTATTTATTGCAGGACACGTGTCAATACACCATTTATGAAAAACTATTGATGGCTCCATAACAAAACCGTGTCCGGGAAAATAAATATTTTCAGCAACAAACACAGAATTCATTTTCAAAACTGAAATTTGTCCATAAATCATAATGCAACAAGGTCCATCAAATAGCCATATGACTCGGTTCTGTTAAATAAGATCGAAAATAAATCACATTGTCCAAGCCGAAAACACACCAAGAAACCATTCCACTCCAACAACAAACTCAATATAAAGATAACTCCAAAACACTATCAGGACTTAGTTGCGGCTATAAGTGCACAAACAGATAAGTTCAAGTAAATCCATCTACTGCTCGACTAATAAGCAGTCTGTCTGTTCCTCCTCTTGACAAAAAGTTAAGGCTTATATTTACAGACTGATGGTAATGCAGAAAAGAATACCACGAATCTCATCATATTCCGCATAACTGTAGAGTGGTTAAGCTATTTACAAGAAAGTTGGATGAATGAGAGAAATGTTTATTGAAAGATGGTGGTGAATGAAAATTTGAATCACATTCCAACATAATTAAATAAACACTCAGCAAAGTAATAAGGAAAACAAATAACCAAAAAGTTCCTAAGACGGCATGATTCCCCGAAAATGTCTAATTGTACAAAAATTAAGGCTTATATTTACAAAGACCAATGGATGCATAAAAGGACACCATGAATCTCATATTCCATATAACTGTAGCCTGTTTGTGCGTTCTAAAGACAACCAAAGTTGAAGAATCACTGAGCATAATAATTATCGAATGCTGGTGGTGAACGAAAATTTTCATGTCCACATTCCAACATAACAAAATAAACACCCAGCAAAAAGAGATTAGGGAAATAAACAACCAAAAAAGTTTCTAGGACAGAATGAGGGATCAACTTCATTATTTCCGACTTCAACATTTCCACAAACCTCAATCCAAGGAAGAACACATTAAAGATCATCATTCAAGAGAAGTTACTATGTGAAGCCAACACACACAAATCACAAATAAACAAATAAATACTATCTCGGATCAGAAATCACATTCCCAACTTAATAAAACAATGCCCAGAAAAAAACTGGAGAAAATTAAAGAAAAAAAGCACAGACCAATCTGAAACAGACAAAAGAGTGCTAATTGTATGAGTTTTTACTTATGGAGAAATAAGGAAATAAACAACCAAAAAAAGATTGTACTAGCAACTTACTTGATTTTCGACTTCAACACGGTCTAATTAGTATTATTTCAAAATTTCATAAATTAATTATGCAATAAATCAACAAGGGCTGGTATAGTGGTATTGGTATTGGTATCGGTATGGGGAGGGCAAGTAGACGGTGGCTTGACGAGTTGAAGAGCAAGAGAGATGAGGACGGGCAGAAGTGGGGCCCCCTTTGGGTACCTGCAGGACAAGGACACCGCCAGGTCGGTCAACAAGAGCAACGAGCAATCACGAATCCCGAAATTCTCGAAACCCCCGAACAGATTGAACATGGCCATGAAGTGAAGAGGAACACAGGTCCCTTGGAACAAGGAGAACCACAGATTGTCTGACCGAGTGATATAAAAGCGAGACCCGAACACGCGAGGACGGACCACACGTCGGCCACCAGCTTTTCACCCGACGCCTTAGCTTCACGGGTTGGGCTAGTTTGCGGATCGCACACCAAAGTATGAAGATAAAGTAAAAAGACCAAAGCGGCGTGCCACATACGTCATACTTGGCCGCTATTTTGAGCTTATTGGAGTATATGTTGCACGCCGAATTAAACAAAGCTGGATACAACACGCAGGCCACGTTGTACCAAAACAGCCACTTTGCTGCTCCTAGATGACCAACGGCCGTCAAATCCATTGTTTCCTCGTCCTCCATTTCCATAAATAAATAACTCTGATTAATTAATAGAAGAAGAAGGTACGTTCAACTTGCAGGATATATCGATATATGTATAGATATAGCCCGTTTGGTAGATAGCGGATTGAAGATAAATTAGCGGATTGGACTTAATTGAGAGGTTTGACCCGTCAAATCCGCTATTGAGTCTGTTTGGTAAATAGCTTATTTGATAAGCTTTTTGGGCTCAAACCTCTAATTTAAAAAAAGCTCATTAGAGGAGCTTTTTGGGGATAGAGGATTCACAAAAAATCTTTTTACTTGGAACTTTTTAATTTGTATTTTTTATTTTAAAATCTATATTGGTTTATGGTGCTAATAAATAATAATATGTCATCCATATGATTAATTTATCTAGAAAAATGTAAAATTCATAACTTCTTCATCAAGTTTTAGGCAATTTAAAGAAAAAAATAATATATTTATAAATTACCAATTAAAGAATATTAAATTTTTTAATATATTATTATTAAAAAAATACACCCTAAATAATAAAATATTCTTATTGGTCATTTTGTAATGTCAAACAGCTATAAGCTTTCAACTATTTACCAAACACTTATTTAAAAACTGCTAATGCAATCTGCTGGTCAAATCAGCTAATATAATCCGCTATCCACTATCCGCTGATACAATCTGCTATCCGCTATCCGCTATCCGCTGATCGCCAAACAAGGCCATAGGTGGCCTACATACAATACAAAAGGAGTCCTATTCCTATTTTATTCCTATTTTAACGGTACGTTTAACTTGAAGATGATATATAGAATATATACATACAGGTAGCCTACATAATATATTAACAAAAAAAAATATTTAAAATTAAAAATCAAATAATAAGAAAATCAATAGAAGGTAAGAAGATCTTCTCCCATGAACTTTCCAAACAAACATATTAAAATTGAATCTATATGGTATATGAACTACGAATTTGTAAATAGAATCAAATGCACTACATATTATTTTTAGCAAATATATTTACCTACCATATATTAAAATAATATATTAAAATAACTTCTATTTCATAGTTTTATATACAGTTCTATAATTGCCATATAATAACTAATAACTTTACCATATATGTTAATATAAATGGAAAAAACATTGTCTGGATATTTAGATTTCCATTAAATATGAATCATTTTCAACTACATAGCAAATAGTATAAGAATATAAGAATATATACATATATATAGGGTCGCGCTCACATGAGAATGAGGCTTAATGCGAAAAATGGGAATAAATTGTAGCCATCGGATCGGATGATCTAAAGTCAAAATTATACCTTCATTAACGGTATTGGAGTAATTTTTTCACACTACACCAAAAAAAAGGTGGGCCCCACTACACATTTAATAAATCTGAAAAACCAACCCAACAGGCACCCCACCCCACCCCACCGAACCCCTCTCTCTCTCACTCTCTCTCTCTCTCACACACACACACCAAAATCGACAGACACACACACACACACAAAACGGCCCGCCACCACCAGCCCACCGCCGCCCGTCCGTCTCCGCCATGCCAGTCCGCCGCCGCACTTCTCCTCCGCCCACTCTATCCAGCTCAATCGCTTTCTCTCTCATCACACAGACAGAAATCGACGCACACAAACACACATTCACAGCCCCCACCACCAATCGCCACCGCCCGTCCGCCACCGTCAGTCAGCCACCGTCTGTCCGCCGTCCGCCTCTCCATCTCCCTCTCTCTCTATCTCACACACGCAAACATTCAGAAGATCGACACACACCCACAGTAATGGCTCGACAAAAAACCCTAATCCACCACTGTTCATCCGCCGCGGCCGCCATCCCTCCGACTGCTCTTTCCAGACATCGCCGGTCGCCCGCTACTGAAGTCGGCCGACTTCATCCTGGTGAGGCGACAATTCACGGTGTGTCGTCGAGAATGACGAGAATTGAACAAAAACATGCGATGAATTTAGGTAAATTATAAAGGATTGATATGAAATTATATAATTAGATAATTAGAAAGGATTTATATGAGATTTAAGTAAATTTAACTATATTGCAATTTGGTCCTTGGTCAACTCATTAACTATGATGAATTTAATAGAGTATTCAAGAATCATGAATAAATGTATAAATGCACAATATTCTATTTGAATATGCACAAATGAACAAACACACAAAATTAACATTACTAAATATGTGTTTATCTTATAAATAATTTAATAAATGTAAAATAATGTTAAATTGATACAAAAAATACGCGATCATTACGCTACAATAATGATAGTCGAGATGCACTTGGCTGTGTGAAATGCGTATTATTTATTTCATTATTTTATATATTAACTTATTTCAACAAAAATATTGTAATTTCAGTATTGTTGCACTTTAAACAATATTACATTGCACCTTATTTCACGTCATGTTGCACCTTATAAAAAACAACACAAATAAGGTGTATCAAAAATAATATAAAAATAATAAATAAGATTATTAACATATTAAATATAAGTTTCGTATAAAGTGCAACGTGTTGTTTTATAAAGTGCAACGTATTGTTTTATAAAGTGCAAAAGTGTTTTTTGATAAAGTGAAATAATTTGTAAGAATACATATAAATTATGTGTAATCGAAAATTATTTTTTAATAAATATAATTGTACAAATAATTAAATTAAAAAATTTAAATATTTTATTAGTTAGTACTATTATTATTTTAAAAAATATAATTGTACAAATAATTAATTTAAAAAATTTAAATATTTTATTAGTTATTACTATTATTATATAATTTTTTTATTATTATATATTATTTTATAGTGTAGTTTGTTATTTTATAAAGTGCAACGTGTTATTTTATAAAGTGCAACATATTGTTTTATAAAGTGCAAAATTGTTTGTTTATAAAGTGGAATAATTTGTAAGAACACATATAAATTATATGTAATCGAAAACAATTTTTTAATAAATATAATTGTACAAAAAATTAATTTAAAAAATTTAAATATTTTGTTAGTTATTACTATTATTATATAATTTGTTTATAATTATATATTATTTTACAGTGTAGCTTCTTATTTTATAAAGTGCAACGTCTTATTTTATAAAGTGCAAAATATTGTTGTATAAAGTGCAAAGGTGTTTGTTTATAAAGTGAAATAATTTATAAGAACACATATAAATTATGTGTAATCAAACACTATTTTTTAATAAATATAATTGTATAAATAATTAATTTAAATAATTTAAATATTTTATTAGTAACTACTATTATTATATAATTTTTATAGTATTATATATTGTTTTATATTATCTTTATATTTTATATTATTTTTATTTAATAATTTGTTTATTATTTAATATATGTGTATAACAAAAAAAACATAAAAATAATTTTTTAAATATTTGTATGTATGACGATTGCATTTTATGATTATACAAATTGCACGTTAATGACTATTAGATTGCACTTTGGTGACTATTAAATTGCACAAAATTGAACGACATCGACCAAATTAAATTTTTAATTCGAGAATTTTAATTTCAATTCAATTGTCAATTTTTTACATTTAAAAACTCGGTTATGCCAATTTCATCTCGAATTTTTGTTTTTTTGACTTAAAAAATGAACAATATGAAAAATAATATTCATTTTATTAATATAGTTTTTGTGTAAAATATTATCAAATTTCAACCATAACAAATATAAAAATATTAAATATTAAATAGAAATATTAAAATATTAATAATTGTTTGATTAATTACAATTTCACCCATAAACTAAAGTGCAATATATAAAAAATGCTAAAATTGCATCTACACCCCTAAATCTTATCAAATTCACCAAAATAGGCCCTGTACATAAATTGAACAATTTGATGGATATTAAGCCCGTTCATCTCCATCCATTCGAGCACCTCATCCTGCGGCCGCCGGTGAAGCTTTTCGGGTCGCCGTCCGTTCGCCACCGCCGCCGTCGCCATCCGTCGGCCACCACACAATCACCCGCCACCGAAAAGGGAGATGCTACCTACGACGGCGTCGGCCACCGATGAACGCCTGTTGCAGTGGAGTGCGGCCGTTGTCGTCATGGTCGCTGGCGAGCTCGCCATCGGATGTGGTTGTTGAGATCGAAGTGGCCGATGATGGTGGCGCTGTGAAGATCTGGCGAGGGCGAGGCGAGATCCGGCGATGGAGGGGCGGCGCTGGGTGTGGTAGGAGGCGGCGGTCGGAGGCGACGGGGAACTGCGTGCTTGTGTGCATGAAAAAGAAACGAACTTTGTGTGTGTATTTGTGTGTGTGAGAGAGGGAAGGGGAAGGGTTAATTAGTGGTGGGACCCACTTAATTATGATGAAACTAAAATTACACAAGTGCCCTTTGAGTGTATACTTGACCATGGAATATACATATATTTACAACCATGCCATCGTATTATACCAGTTTATTAATGTTTGACTTCATCATGATCATTGGTATGCTAGATCTAATGGTGCATATTTATTCTTATTTCTCGCATTAACTACCATTCTCATATGATCCCTTCCCTCTCTCTCTCTCTCTCTATATATATATATATATATATATATTGATATATATATACATATATATATATGTTGATATAGGATATTATATACTAGACCAATTTTAATGGATAAAAAGGGAATATATTGAAGAATAAGCCTACACATGGCTAGGACACGTGGCATGATGCTATTGGACAAGCCCAACTTGGGCCATAAGGTACACTCCCCCTATAAAAAGGGGCTAAGGTATCCCACTCACTCACTCTCTCTCTCTACATTCATAATTATACTCTTGGGATTTGGAGTGATACTAACTTGAGCGTCGGAGGCCCGACGGCCGGACCCCTCCCGGCGTTGGGTTCTTGCAGGTACGGAGGCCGACCGAGTCGAAGGAGCCCGAGTGAAATCTTATTCACTTCATTGGCACCGTCTGTGGGACCAATTCAAAAAGCCAAACGGAGTTCCGATCGAAAAATTACGAAAATCCTCCTTCGACTTAGCCGGCCAAAGTGCTCGGATCGTGAAAATGTTTACGTCAACGGGTAGATCTCGTCGAGGTGAATCTCTCCTTAAAATCTCATTCGAAAATTCATCCGGGGAGGCCTTCGATTTGGCCGGTCAGACTTCCCGAATCTAAGAAATTTTGGTCAACATTCGACCTTCAAATGCATTTTTCCGGTGATTCGTGGGGGCTATGAAAAATCTGGGAGCACCACTGGAATCCTCTCGTCGAGGCGAGTTTCCAGGTCATCACCTCCGCAGCCGCCGCCACCTGTCGCTGCCCGCCGCCGTCGGCCGCCGATTAGATTTCTCCGATCGAAAAAATATTTATGTCATTGGATAGATCTCGTCGAGGGGAGTCTCTCCTTAAGTTTTCAATCAAAAATTCTAACAGGAAGGCTATCGTAAGTTCTATTATTTAGTTTAATGTCCTATGTTGTTTACTTGTTCTTACATTTTTTATTTTTTTTTATAATTTTTATATTGGTGTTGGCATGTAGGGAAACAAACAATTGACAGAATCTTTGGCCGAAAAATCACGCAATACTAGAGAGACCGATTTGGACAAGGAGTGAATGATTTTTTTTATTTCTTTTTAGCTTAATGCACGGTGGACTTGCATTTTTNGGAGGGTGGGGAAACAAATTAAACTACCTATTGTGTTAGAACATTTTTCTATGATTTGTTTAATAATCTAATGGATTATTTGAGTTTTATGCAAGTCTTGTTTCTATGATTTTTCTATGGACCTTTTCTTAAATTTTTGTTTATTAAGCAGTGTTTGTGTTTGGATATGAAATGCTGGAATACAGAGAGCACTGGTTCTCATATACTAGAGCAACTTTTGCTCAGGATGAATGATTTCTTAATAATACCACATTAGTCTTATGAGAGGATGAATGATTATTTAATATCGAGAATTCTCGCTTGTAACAAGTTTCTACTTAATGTTCATCTGACTGAGTTTGTTGTGTTTCCTGATAATCTATAAATATATATAAAGAGGAGCAATATAATATTTAATTATATTATTATGCATTAAATTTTATTATCTCTCCAAAATTTTCAACATTCAATTTTATTTTTAAGTTACAAAATAACTTGCTTAAATGCCATAAATTATAAGCATAAACCAATCAAATGAGTTACAAAATTGTACTCAAATTTTAAGTCACACCCACTCATGAAAATGACCGGATGTATTAGCATAAAGAAAATGGTTGTAACGGCTCTTCCATAATTACTTGATCAAAATCAATTTTGAAAATTATTTTCTTAATTCATATTTTTTTCATGAATTAAATTATGATTTTTTTATATTGTTATATTTTTAAAGTATTATTCTCTGTGTAAATGCACATGTTGATTACTAGTCTAGCCGAATCACTATCAACCGTTATGAGATGATATCTAGTAGAAACGATAATATTACTCAAATGAAACAAGAGTTTACACCCGCATGGCCGACTAGCCATAATACAACCCAGAGAACCACTCCAATTTGGTGGCCTAGCATAACACACAAACACGAACAACAGGCATAACCGAAGTTAAGGGAACCTGTGCCCTCATAACAACCTAGCACACAAACAGCAAACCGAAATCTAAACAACAACACAAAATCCAAGCCACTGAACCTGAAAGGACCTAGCTATGGATACACAATCCGAACAACAAATCAAAAAACAAAAAATAGAACTAAGCATAACAGACAGCTTCAGACCACTCTCTGTGGGCGAACTTGGCTACATTCTCCTCAGGCATCCATACTTTTTTGAATATATCTATTCTCTTATCTATATAAAAAGGAAGTGCTTGCCTTCCCTGTGCGACACGTGTCACACTAAAGTAAAAAACTCTACTCTCTTATGTTTGCCAAACGACGCCGTTTAGGTTCAATTGTTAAAAGCCTTTTCCTTCGCATTTCACCCAACTCCACGTGAACATCACAGGTGTTTTCTTCTTCTCTATTCGCACATGTGTTCGATTTCCAGCGAATTCTATTAATCTTCGTCTTTCTATTCGTGTTTCGATTGATTTTCCTCATTCTTTTCTTATTGCTTCAATTGTTAGGCATTTTCCTCCTCATTCCAGCCATATTTTGACGTGAACTTCAATAGGTATTTTCGTCTCTCTATTCACATGCGTTCGATTTCCATTGAAATCAGTTCTTTTTAACCTTTCGCTTTGTGTTTTCGTATGATTTTAGTCATTATTTTCGTATTTCCTATAATTTAAAGTTTAATTTTTTTAAGTGTTTATTGTTTCGAATGGATCATCGACCCATTCTATACAGGCCATACCTCAGCTTCTTCCTATTGCTTCATGGGTGGCTGGGAAGAAGATTGCTTGAGGGTCTGGTATTCTTCTTCTTATTTATTTTTCCCTGAATATTGTTGATTATTGGCGTCAAATCCCGCTGTTTTTCCATTTTCGGGTGCCTCATTCTTATATAATCTTTTTTAAGAATATTTCAAGTGTAACATGTTGAGTGTTGATCTTCGCTTGAGAAATTTTAATCTACATAACGTTTCCTTTTTCGTTTTTTTTTTTCTTTTCAGGTTGGGTCATTTGGTGGATAAATGATGTTGAAAAGGTGGCAATACTCGCCTATGGCGGTCGACCCATACTCTGTCGACACCTGTTCAAGGCGGCGAAGTCCGGCTCACCCTGATCCGACACGGTGGATTATCCTTCTCCGCAAACCTAGCTTCTTCGATTGGAGTTTCTCATCTGCCGCCGCATCTGTTTCTAACCTAATTCGTGCCAACGTCTTTCCTGGCGACGGAATTGGGCCTCACATTGCCAAATTCGTCAAACAGGTACGAAAAACATGGCCCACCGATAGTGTGTCCGTGTGTAGTTGAGTATTTTTTTTAACCTTTCGAATTTTGATGACCGGGTTGAATAATATGGAGTTACCTTTTGCTGCATGTTGGAATTACAGTGTTTGAGTTGTTATCGAGCTTCAATTTTTTTATAGAGTAATGTTGTGCGTTCCTGTGTATTGTTGATGATCTACTTGATTGTTGAAGGAATGTTGATGATCTACTTGATTGTTGTACGTTGCCTGGTATTCTTTTAGCATGGATCGGGATTCCAAGTAGAAAGTGAAACTTCAAATTTCTCTTTTTAATAGAAAAAGTGTAAGAACTTTTACACATTCAGGCATTGTCAATATCTAGAAAAATGAGTTTCTTACTGCTGTTACCAGCGATCAATTTCAAGATAATCTATACTTGAGCTAGGTTATTAATGTATAAATGGTTTTGATATGAGACTCATGGTATTTATCGTTCGGTTACTGTGCATTTGGTATTTTGGTAGTCAAAGAGTGCATAATTGTATTGCATCAATATATTGTGTCCTAAATGTATGATGTGAGTTTATGGCCTTGCCGGCGCGACAATTCAATAAATTTTGCTATAGTTAGAGCAGGTTTCAAAATATATTTAGTTAGTTAACTGGAGTGATGATTGATTAGTATAGTTTGGGAATAAAAGTGTGTTCTCTATATTGGTGAGGGTCTGGTATTCTTCTTCGAAGGTAAATTTTTTTTTTTATTTCTTTGGCCTAATTTATATCCAATTTGATTTGAGTTTGTTTAGGTTTTCTTTCATGTTTGTCTTTTTCAGGACTCTTAGCATGGAGGTATGGATGGTTCATGGATTGATCTTGCAGCTGATGCTTCACAATTTGATGAGTCCACCTAATATCTCTTTCAGCATAATTTCAACGAAATTACAGGGAAATTTTCTTTAACTCCAAATTCAATTTTATTTGTATTTTTGTGTTGTATTGTTTAATGGGCCAATGTTTTCAAAGTACAATTGGGCTATAGAATGGTCCAACATAAGAGAATTAATTACATTATTGTTTTGTTCAAATTTTGTTTCATCAAAAAAACTTAACATATCACACCCATAATAATACATTCTGTAAGTTGAGTATCTTTTTTACAGATGTTGGTAATGATTACAGTATTGCAAGTTGAGTATTTTTTTTACTGATATTGGTAATCATTTCAATACTGCAGCTTTTTGTAAAAAAATCTCCCATGTGGTTAATATCTGGCAGTTCATTTGTATCTTTAAAAGTCATATAATAGTATTTTATATTTTCTCTACATGTTCTGGAAGAAATCTGATTGCTTAGTGCTATTTATTATATTTTAATATATTTCATTAGAGGATAAACACAAATATATCAATGGTTTTCATCTACATTTTTCATTTGCTATTTTGCGTCTGTGGAGATGTAAGTTCTGAGTTTCTTTGAACTTCTTCATTGTATTTGTTTACTTTAAGATGATTCTTAACTTTTATTAAAGGAGTAATATGTTCTTGGATTGTTCTAAAGATTAGTAGTCTTCTGATGTTTCTCAAGGGGGCATTAAAAGTGCTCTGCTTTTGGTTTTTCATTATCTGATGTTAGTGCACCTGCTTATGCACCTGCTTAGTATAAACTTACCTGTGGCCTTTTTTACTTGTCATGTTTGCACTTACTGTTTTACTTGTTTTGTGACATAACATTTATATACTTACAAAATAACTCTTCTATAATAAAATTTTCTATAACTACTTACCTTCTTAAATAGATTATATTTGTTAACAAAATTATATTCATTCCACTAATAGTGTATAAAGTGTTGACACCTGTTTTCCTATTTATAATTACTAATGCAAGTGCTGTTGGTTGAAGAGTGTATAAAGTGTTGACACCTGTTTTCCTATTTATAATTACTAATGCAAGTGCTGTTGGTTGAAGTTTGTGCGACGACCATCGTAAAAAGTTTGGTTGCTGCTTAATATCTTCAGCTAATACAATAATGTTACTAAGTCATTAGTTTAATAAAATTATTGTATCAATGCTTAGGTTCTTTCTATTGGTTTATTGTATATCAGACATTTCACCTTTTCAGAAATTATCAATCTCTTGAATTATACAAACGCCTCTAGTTTGCATTTATGTATCTGAAAATTGTGAACTTATACATGTCCTCAAACACACAAATGACTTGCCGCCTATACTTTAGCAGAGTATATGATTCTTTATTTACTCTTTCGTATAGCATTCATTCTTTACTAACTCAATCACTTTTCACTGTAATTTATTTACCTGGATATATTTTCATTACTTCATTCTTTACTGGATTCAGGATATATATCTTTCTTGCTCGCTTCACTGTTTGACGCTCTTTCATCCAGACTTTTGCCAGTTGACAGCTAAGGTAAGTAAAAATAATCAATATTACAAGTTTGCAAAATTATACTACCGTTTTTTATTTTCTTTAATTGCACATATTTGCCTGTTTTTCTTTTGTTCTATTATTTGTTTCTATTGTTAATATATATGAAATTTCTGTTTGTACTATTATATTACATTTGGCTTTTTGTTAAAGTATAAAGCTTATCGGATATAAATTTAGCTATATTGTGCCCTTATCTATTGTGTTAGGTAACTAGGTTGTAATGCCCCGTTTGAATATTAGATTTTTTCGAGTTTATTTTAATTAATGGCACTTTATTTTATTATTTATATGCCTTGATTATATATGCTATCATTATGTGGATAATATAATTATATAACTCGTTCGATTTTATCGATCGCCGTTTGAACTTCAGTTTAATCGCGTAAGCCGAATTGTTGTTCGTTTTAATTCGTTTATGAAACCTAGCCTATCCATGGCCTTAGCCACGGTTCACGCATGGTAATAAGAGCTTATTAAGTATTTTCTAAGCCTAAGTAAGTCTTGGAAGCATTATCAATAGTCAAAGCTCTTGTAGCCTCACTTTACGCAACTTATTGCTGGGTGTAATAAGCAGCGAGCCACTCCCATTTCTTGAGCCAATGGCTCGTTTTATGGTCATTTTCTTTCAAATATCATGATGTGCGATTGTAACCAGGCGGGTTAGGATTAACATGAGCCAATTTAGTCCATGAGAAGGTGTAGGAAAGTCAACAAACATTGGCATCTAGTGAGAAATGTGCTAGGTTATTATTATATTGCATGTGCTAGTTTTGTTTTTACATTAGAGGTGTAAGATCCTTGTCCCCCATGTTCCTTGATGACAAAAATCAGAGCATATTAAGCCTTACCAACCAAAAAACTCGGCCATATGCTCAAGTTTCGCATGCACCTAAGAGTTAGAGAGGTTCCCTTACACATGCACCTAAGATTCTTCATTATTTGTCCCTTTCATTGCCTAAGAGTCAACACCCATGTGAAGCCTTTACTTAAGGCATTTACTCAGCTGAATAAGCCACATTTAACCCTTATAATTTTCTTGCATCATAACCCCAAAGTCCTCTCCAAACACTTAGAAGCAATATCAAGTCCAAGAGCAACTTAGAGCCTTTGCCGAGAAAAACTTCAACCTAGTTTCATCTTATTTTTCTTGAAGACTAGAAGAGGTTAGTATGCTAACTCCATTTAGCACATAATGTAGTGGAGTTAATGTGTTATTATGTGTGTTAAAATGTGACTAAGTTTCATTTTATATGAGGATATATCCATGTTGAAGGGAGATCATGTAGTAAATGACTTATATTTCGATTTATATTGCCTCTGTTGTGTTGCTGCAAAGGGCATGAAATACTCATTTTATGAAGTTGTGTTCTTCGTATGATATGTAGATAATTCTGTTGTGGTTCTGTGAGTTTTGGAACTTCGAAAATCTGATTTAAAATGAGAGATATATGATTTTTACAAAAATATAGCACGATCAGTTTTTAACAAAACCCGGCAGCAAGTTTATGTTGAATGTTTTACCTGTTTGTTGCATTTTAATGTGCTCAAATAGAAATATGGTCTTCATGAAAGCTATAGGTCTCTTTCTAGCTTTCTGATGAGGTACAATTCATGTTGATATGATTACTGTAGCTCGGTTTGTGTTAGATAGAAGTAGGATAAACATGTAGTGAGTTATACTTTTAGACAACAAGGTGGTTCTAAATGTTAGTTGATTTTACTCCTCTGTAATGACCTTATCTACATTAGCATTCTAAATGAAAGTTGTAGAACTGTCTCTTAGGTTTCTAACAATGTAATAAGCATGTCAATATGATAAGTGTAGCATGAGATGTGAGTTTTATAAAAATATTATACAAGCAGTTTTTAAAAAATCGGGCTGAGTATATGATATTGATGTTTGTTCTGAAAGTGATGTTCTAACATGCTCAAATGTAAAAGTGATCTTCATGAACATTGTTGGTATGCTTCTCATCTATCCATTGGTTTTAAAATCTGATCAATTGGAGGTCTATATAATGATTTAGACTATAAATACCGAAGTGCTGTTTGTAAACTGAACCAAGTTCCGACAGATTTTATGACCCAAATGTTTTGTGCTTAAAACTATTGATAATGCCCTTATTTGACAATGTGGTCTTCAGAAAAGTTGTTTAAAATTGTGTTAGCTACATTTTGGTTTTTGGAATTTCCTTGATAGCATGTCTATAGCTCCATTTATATTGAATATACTGAGGTTCTGTGCATTACATGTTTCCAGATTTTTTACAGCATCCCCGTTTCATATGTTTGATGTTCTAAGGCCTGCTAAATGATATTAATTGCTTCTGATGTCTTCATAAGAATTTTAGAGGCATGTCTTAGGATTCATATGCAACTGGTTTCGTGTCAATATGAATTGTGTGCTGCATTGGGTGTCGATTTCAAAATCGCTGCGCGGGTTGTATTTCGAAAATTTATGTGGTGTTTTCGAAAATAAAATCTATCTTTTTAATGCTTGCTAATATGACTTATATGGGCTGAATTAACCTAAGTGTTTTTGATATAAATGATGATATGAGTGTATCTATGTGTTGGATAGTCTTTGATAGGAACCTCGTAACCATTGTAGGTATTTGACGAGCCGTGCTATCATCCTATCGACTCTTGAGTATTTAATTGCTATTTCGGTACCAGGTGGGTTTGTTATTCAAAACTTTTCTATGCATATGCGTGACTTTAATTGTGATGAAAGTTTGGTGTGATCTATGTATGAAAATGAACATGTAGCCTATCGATGTGAGCTTGATGGCTATCGGTACGGTTGTCCCCGTATGATAAGATACGGTTATCCTGTGAGGTAAATCTCATAAAGACCTATGAGAAGACCGTGTCATTGATGTGGCACGCACTCCCATGTTTCACTGATATGGCATGGCTTAGCTTTGATGAGCGTAGATGTACATGAGTGAGTCTTTGATGAGACTAGAGTCATTGATGTGACTAGAGATGTGACATGATTTTATTGTTTATGTTCATGCTGCGACCATACCATTTATATGTTATTCATATGCATAGTGTGAGTACGATATTTAACTGTACTCACTCCCACCTGCTCTTCACTGATGCAGGTTGAACAGTTGGCGGGTGACGAGACAAGACGGGTGGTGGTCATGTTTTTATTTATTGCTTATTTATTTGCTTCCGCTCATTTAAGGAACTCATGTTGAGATATTTTGATTATGTAGTTTTGAACTTGGAATTATAAATTATCTTTATGATTTGGAACTTAATAAATGCTAGTTTCGTTTATGATTTATTATTCGTGCATTCTGTCTTTATCTGATGTGTTGGCATTTTCGGATAAAAGTTTTCGGTAAAATAAGTAGCGCCCACTAAGTTTTTATTAAATTGAGATTTGCGAAAAATTAACTCTGATTTTTACTAATTAAATTCGATAAATCTTTAAAATAAAGTGGGGCGTTACAGTTTGGTATCAGAACCAGTGTGCGTTTCTGTAGACTGGTTTATATGTGAATTATATGTTTATGCGATTATGAAATTTACACCTTGTGTTTTGACCACTCGTCTTCGTCATGCCGCACTGCTTAAAGGTATGTTTTATATAAGTATCAATGAAAATACTTATAATGTGAATTGTGAAATTTATATAAGTAGCAATGAAACTACTTATGATGATTTACATGAGTAGCAATGAAACTACTTATGATGTTTTGCATGAGTAGTAATGAAACTATTTATGATGTTGTACATAAGTAGCAATGAAACTACTTGTGATGTATTATGTTGTTTTGGGGGCTTAAGAATTTAACCTCCGTATATGTGGACTTGAACTCTAGTGGTATAGAGTTAAGTTATGACTTTAGAAGCTCCTTGTTGTGAGTTTTGATATGATGTTGTTAAATTGAATATATGTAGCAGTTTATCGCGACAAGATTTCGTTTAGTGTTCTCAGGATAGGATAATTCATGATCTATCTCGAAAGAGAAAGATTGAGAACCGAGTAATTCTCTATTATAAGCGATTACTTGGAGAACTAAATCCTGTTGATAGGACTGTCGGATGAGTGTTCATATTCAGTCAATGAAGACTGGGATTAGCGTTTGGTTACCACGTTTGGATTGTTGATCGACTCCAATAATTTTAAGGAGGATAGACCGATCCGATACCATGTGGAAATCCTAATGGCGTATGAATTGAACTAGTTTATGACTACCGGCATGATTAGCTACCTGATCAATAGCTTACATGACGGCCGACACTATTAGTCGGAAGAGTCAAGCGAGTTAACCATTGCAATGTCTGGCAATGATTACTAAGTTATGGTTATTTCAGCTGACGAGCTGATATTTGTTTTCTGTGGGAATTATTTCCCTATATTTATCAGTATATATTTGCTTGAGATTATTTTGATTATGAGAGTGGTGAATTTGGAACGTGGTTTTACGCTTTGCGATGTGTTGTAATCATTGAAACATTGTAAACATTCAATCGCACTGTTGAGGATATTATTATTAATGCAAACAAGTAAGAACCATCAGATGATGGTAAAACAGACAAGTAGTAGTGAATCCTCAACCATCACACCATAATACTACATATAGGGAGGGTGCGTCTCAAGAGTACAAGACTCCGTAACTCTGCCACCCATGCATAGTTATCTGGGTTTATAAAGATAAATCTATTGAATCAAAAGCTCGCTTGCGTTTAACCCCTTGAGTTTCCACAGAATCTTGAGATGTGGCGTCCTCTTGAAGCTTCTTGATAAGTCCAGCAGTAGTATCTGCACATTTGAAGATCTCTCTGGTAGAATCAGATATATAGTTCTGATATAAACTTTCTTCAAGGAAACCTAGAAAGCCATTAAAGATGTGATGGAAATTTAATAGACCAATGGGTTTATTATGAAGTTTCATGTTTGACCAGGAAGCAAGAGTAAGCATGGTCATTAAAGTTCCATAACCACCAGGAAGTATGATGAAATCATCGCTATGATTCACCATAAACATAGTGCAATCATAAATCGAGTTAGACAGCATCAGACTGGCAGAATCTTTGATAACATTTGGAGGAGCTCTGTGGAAAGGTAGAACACTTTTCACTTCAATATTAAGGCATTTTCCAGCCATGAGCAGATTATCAAAGAAAGTGAGGCTAGTTCCTCCATACAGTATATTGATGTTGTGTTTTCCCAGTTCTTTAACTAATTGGGATACAATATCAATATTTTGAGAGGAAGTTAAAAGTTTAGAACCACCAAGAACGCATATGGTTTTTAAAGGTGGAAGAACTTTAGAAGCTTGAGAAGATTCAGAAATCTCCATTTGGAGTAGAGGGATGGATGCTTGATAGTGAAAAAGGATGGGCCTATTTAAAGAGAGAGATTATGAAGAGAAATGTATTATATTGTTGCACTCTGGCAGTAGCAACCGACAAGTGAGAAGGTAAGCATTAAATGAGCATTATCTATCTATCAGAGTAGATAAGATATAGCATACCTTATAATAATATATGGTCATCAAAGACAGTTGTTGCAAACAGGATCGCTAGCAACAATATTTTTGAGACTATAGCATTCTTCTTCATTTTTGAATTGAGTCCATAAAGATATTATCTCTCGATGCACATATCCGCTAGGATGTGTCTCAAGAATCTGTTGGAGAGTTTTATCCATAGATTCCTTACTCAAGCCATCCTTTATGAAAGTTATTTTATCCTCTCGATTGTTAGACACAAAGCCTACCGATTTACATCGGGTGTCGCAATTCCATCGAGAACATTTGAAGCATCCGCCTAATCGTTTTGCTCTACGTTTCTTTGAAAACGTACTTCTACTGTAACGCCCCAAAACAGTAATAATATTCAGAACGGTTTCACTGCTCGACTATAAGTGAAATCCGTAATTTTTAGAAATTATCGAGNGAGAATTTGGAAATTCTCCAGATAGTCGGACTTTTGCTTCAATCAACCATCGGAGATCATTTGGTATATTATAGAGCATTAGCACTCTCAATCTTTCCACTCGATATCGATAAATTTTCTTTATGATATTAAGTGGAAGAAAAGAATAAGATCTGCGAATATTGGAGAGTGCTAGATCCATTTGTTAGTTCGGACCATTGCTGAGGAAGATCGTCGATTTTTGCAGCCAGTTTATAGGCAAATGATGCGTATGAGATACGCTTATAATCGGTGTGACCGACGCGCATGATTGATGATTGTGCATTATTACATACTGAATGTCTTCATCTGCTATCAGAGTGCATTTAATGCAGCCGAAAGCAGATGTGAGATGTCGGTAATAATGTTGTCTCGTGTATTATTGTGATGGCTACTGATATTTTAATATAAGATCACTTGGTAGCTAGAAGCTGTTATTAGAGTGTGTTTTCCAGAATTTTGAGTTTTCATATGTGCCTAGTTGTATGTATTTCTAGTTTCAGTATTTCCGAGGACGGAAATAATTTTAAGGGGGATAGATTGTAATGCCCCATTTGAATATTAGAATTTTTCTGATTTTCTTTGATAATATGATTATATATATTATATTATTAAGTGGATAAAATAAATATATTCTCGGTTAAATTCTATTCAGTAATCGGGCTAGTGTTAGAATTTTATTCTGGTCCGTTTATTTTAGAAATGATTAGTTGAGATTGTTTATTATTAATATTATGTATTGTTATTATTATTATTATTATTTAATGAATGCCAAATTTTCAATTAAATGTTTAAATGTTTATTATTTGTATTAAATAATTAATGTGAATAGATTGTAACAACTCGTTCGATTTTTAGAATTTCTTGGGATATTCTATATATCGAATATTATTTATAAGGTTATAATTAATTTATTTGGTCGCTATGTCGACTTAAATAAAATGTTGGAGTACTCGATCGTTTTACTGGAAAACGGTTGTCGTACGACGAATACAGTTTAGTTATGTGAACCGAATATAATCCATTTGAAAAATGGATTTTACGGATATGTTGGCAGTATTATTTATTTTACTGCCAAAGTGAAATGATTATTTGATGATGTATTTATTAGTGTGTGCTAATAAATATATATAATGTCGATTCCGTAAATTTAAAAGATTTACGAGTCGTCATATTTTATTTTCGAACCATCATTAACCGTTTTTCCTATCAAATTCTTCTTAGCCTTTGTGATTTAGTTCTCAACTTTAGAACTTGCTAAATTATGCTAAAATCCCTTGAAAAATCCGAACATGGCAATGTGTAAGTTTCGGTTTTTCCAAGATCATCTAAGACCATTATTTATTTATTTATTTATTTTTTTTAGTTCACATGGAGTTGATTTTTCAAAGACTAATGGACGGCCCTTCATGTTCTAAGCATATGGTATTTACATTTTAAATACAAC